ATATTTTCTTTGCAGCTGTTTCTTGATATATTTCTTATATGTATTCAATATTTTCAGATATTTGAAGTTTCATAAAGGTTCTACTCCTGTTTTTCTACCTTCAACGCATCACATTACGAGAATGTTATGAAAAGTTATTTATAAAAAAAACCCTTGAAAACGTTCTTTCTGTGTTGTTATTATCTGAATAACGTCCTCTGAATGTTGACATCAAAACATTACATTAACTTCACAGGAACATTATTGGAAACGTTTGACTGAGACATTTTCTTTAAAAGATTATCAGAACTTGTGGATTATTTTAGCTCATTCAGGGGGAACATTTCCTGTTCAGACATTAACACCTTGTTTGGGGAAATCAGGTCCAGTTTCTCCAACTGCAAAGCCTGTCTGAGCTCCAAACCAGCTCAGACCTCACGGCTTTCTGCTGCCTCTTGTGTCTCCATGTGGAACCACCGTCATCCTTCTGCAGCACCTCCACGCTCTCAGGCTGCATCGGTCGGAGTCACCGGGTTCTCTGAGGATATCTGAGCTCCTCAGCTGCCCTCGGCCACACACTTCTGAGAACAAGCTGCTCTGCCAGGAAGTCCTCGACTCGCTTTCAGCGGCGAGTCAGTCGGTGTGAGCGTGTCAGGCTGCAGGAACACGCTGGTGTTCTGGCCGACGAGTCAACATCCAGACTGTTTGCTGTCAAGTGCACCATCAGGGGAACTCCATGAAGCCTCTGCACCGACAACGTCTCTGTTGTCTCATCAGTTCATCTATCTGACTGATTTTTACACACAAAACGTACAAAGATCTGATGTTTTTTATTAAATTAAGCCAACCAGAAGTTCACACAAAGCGATTAATGGATCATTCAGCTGTGAAAATGTGCAGTTATTCAGATTTTGAGTCTTTTCTTTGTCTTCTGATGAAGAAACCGTTTAATGAACCAAATATCAGAGAAAATCAGCTTTACTGCATTTATCTGACAGCTTTTTACAAACTTATAGAAATCTGATTAGTTGATTAATCAGTTAGTCGGTTGCAGCTATTTAGAGTCTGTTTTGTCCTCTTTTCTTTTAAAGCTGTTTTCTATTGTTGCTCCACCACAGACCAGAATAAAGTATTTCTACTCCCCTACATTCATCCGACAGCTTCAGTTACTTCAGAAGTCAATATTTTGCACACCAGAGCTTAAAAAATAAGACATTTTGGAATAAATTAAACTATAGTTTAGATGATTAGTCGATTATTTCGTTAATAATTAAAACAGTAAGTGATTTAAATAACCTGTGACGGCACTTCTGAATATTTTCTGAATGATTACAAACCAAACAATCAATCAGACATAATTGATCAATCAGCAGATTGAAATCAGCAGCTACAATAAAATCCTGCTTTTACATGAATGAATAGAATGCACGACTAATAACATCACACACACACACATATATATATATATATATAAACTGTATTTCTGTGTATTGTTAGACTACTTTTAATACTTTAAGCTCATTTATACAAACATTTAGTTAAACAACATTTTCTTTTTGTTTTATTTTTACTCATTATTTTAGTATTTTGACTTAATTAAATCAATACTTCACCTCCAACAGTCACTTTATGATCTATTTAATGTGCTCACAGGACAATCTCCTGTTTATTTTAACATTTAGTTTCTTCTTATTTCTAATCATGAGGATGATGAATTTGGTTTCTTCAGCCTGAACCTCTGCTGATATTCAAACTTCAGCCTGATGATGTCATTCACTGTTTTCCTCCATAAACTCGTACATTTCATCAGAAATCAGAACAAGTCATCCTGCTCCGGGTTCCCGTCGACCCGGTCATGCTTTCACACACTGGTTGTGCAATCCTGTGACACGCTTCCATGGAGGCGTGTGATTGGTCGAGGCTGCTGTGGCCTGAGAGTCATGAGACGGAGTCTGAAGTGGAGCTCCAGAACATCAGAGGGTTCTGGTCTTTATTCTCTCCTTCTTCTGCTGCACATCTCAGAGGGAAATAAGGAACTTTCTGCTCCAATAAATTCATCTGACGGCTTTTTAAAGATGTAGATTAAACACAATGATTTTTTTTTTTAAAAAAGCTTTTTAAAAACACATAGATAAAGATTAAACCTTCCAACTTTTCTAAAAAGCAGTCGCTGAAATTATTTATATATTTTTAGTTTTTATACATAACAACAATTCTTATGAGTTTTTGATATTTTTAAATATATACATGTAATTATTTTTATGAATGTTTTTGCTATTTTTTTAACAATATTTTTTTCAAAAAAATATATGTTTTATCATTTTTTTAAATTGTCTGAATATTTATTTCTGTTTTGGATTTTTATTTTTATTTTTTGCTGGGGTCATTCTGTGATTCAAGAAAAAAAAAGATTATTTTCCTTTAAAAAAAAAGAAGTTTTTGAAACAGGTTTTGGCATTTTAAAAATGTTTTCTTAATTTTTTTCTTGCTTTGTTATTTTTATTTATTTCATATTTTGACATTTGATATATTTTTACTATATTTATGAATACATTTTTAGATAATATTTTTTGCTCATCTATTTAAATATGTTTTAGATATTTAGATATTTTTATTTAAAATATTTTTGATAATTATATTAAAAAAGTTTTTAAATTTTTTGTTTTATTTTTCTGACATTTGTCTATATTTTATTTTTTTTTATATATGCATATTTATTTATTTTGCTGTATTTTACATTTACTTATTTATTCCCATGTTTACTTTTATATTACAAACATCTTTACTTTCTAATATTTTGAGGGGGCTTTTCTAGAATATTTATTTATATTTTTGATCCATATAAACATATATATGTATGTTTTTCTCCTGGTTTCTTCTACATAGCAGCGTGCAGTCGATTTATTTATTTTCTCTCCACAGTCTTTAACACATCTCCTTCTGGCCGTCTTGCTGCCAGATTTCCACCGTGCTATTTCCAGCGTCTGATAACATTCACGTCTGAGTTTCTGTGTTTGTTTTTGGTAGAACTTCTGCTTTCTCTCCTGATGACCTACTTTCAGGCGTTGCTCAACACCTTCACTGGATGTAGGTTATCAGCTCCTCCAGCTTTCACCTCTTCTGCCCCTCTCACACCTTTTTTTCTTTTTTTCTTTCTCCGTCCAGAGCTTCAATCGGTGCAGCTCGTCTTTCACGAAGGATTAGTGGAGCTCTGCTGAAACTCTGCCAACGCTCTGCTCAGACTCTACTGAAGCTCTGCTCAGACTCTTCTTAAACTCTCCTGAAACTCTGCTGAAGTTCTGCTGAAACTCTACTAAGAGTCTGTTAAAACACCACCAAAACTCAACTGAAGTTCTACTTCAACTCTACTGAAACTCCACTGAACCTCTGCTGAAACTCTACTGCAACTCTTCTAAAAATCTACCAAAACTCTACTAAAACTCAACTAAAATTCTCCCAAAACTCTGCTGAAGTTCTGCTGAAACTCTACTGAGACTCTGTTAAAACGCGACCAGAACTCTACTGATCCTCTCCTGCAACTCTTCTTAAAATCTACTGAAACTCTACTAAAGTTCTACCAAAACACCACTAAAGTTCTACTCTCTGAGTGCATCTGCTCTGCGTCCAGCTGCAGGACTTCCAGCAGGTGTCCTCCTTCATGCCCAGTCTGGATCAGAACCTGACCCGGCGGCCCACACAGGTCATGCAGGTGCGCTGCAGGTGAGCTCACCCAGCTCCAGGTGGTGTCGTCCTGCTGCTCGGCCTCCTCCAGCTCCTCTGCGTCCTCGGCCGACGTCATGGTTCCATGGCGGTCCGACCCGGTGGTTCCGAGCAGGTCGTCTGGTGGCGTCTTTGCTCCGTGAGCACGTTCCAGAGTCTGACAGCCGAGCGCGAGTGGTCAACGTCTTACCGGAGCCACGTGGGCCAACCCCCCCTCCTCCTCCGGGCTGGAAACCCGAGCCGGGCCGAGTGGACATCAGCTGCAGAACCTCTGACTTCTGAGGCATCCGAGGATCCAGCGCCGGCTCAGATTCCCAGAATGTTTGTGTGTCAGGAGGCCACACGTGAAAATAACATTAACGTAATGATAAGAAAACCTTCATCTGCACCCAGAAGATCCACAGAGCAGATCAGAGTGAGATCATTAAGTCACCTGACGGGTTTAAACTAAATTATTAATTAAGAAAACGTACCTGAATAAATTAAATATAAACATTAGGACCCTATGATTACACTGATTGAGCAGATTTAGTTAAATAAAGAGAAAGTTAAAAGTCTAACTGAACTGACTAATGTTTATGAGTTTAGACACCAGAACGATCAATAATGAATAATTAGTTCATTAATAATTAACTCTAAGACCACACAATGTCATATAAAACACTGATTTACATGACAGATATAAATATTAGAGGTAAAACATACAGGACTATTTGTTCTGCACATTTTTAGAGGCTCATTTAATTATGATGGTCAGGACACAACAATATGATAAAGTCTAACAAATTACCTGAATAACTAATTAAATATGAATATTAAGATCCTACAATGTTATGAACTCTAACAAATTACCAGAATAAATTAAACTAAGAAGTGAGATTGATGCTATACATTTACCGAACGTGTTTAAAAATGAAGTTTAAAATCCTACATGATTATAGAAAAATAATCTAATTTATCAGACTGATCTTAATATTAGAGTTTAAACTCTACAATATTATTTGTTATGCTAATTTATCTAACTAATTAAACATGAATATTATAAACTCTAACAAATTACCTGACAGATCTAGAATATTCACTATGGTAAAGAAAATAATGAAAAAATACAAATTAACTGATTAATTTAAATATCACAGTGAAGTCCCTGCAATATTATTTATTCTGCTAATTAACTAAATTAATAAAAACATTTAAATATTACATTTAAGATATACAATGTAATTACTTGAGCAATTCCGCTTGACTCAGTTAAACATAAAGGTCGTCTAAATAGTTATTACATTATTAATTATGCAAATCTGTCACATAAATGATCATTATTATTATTATTACTGTTAAAATCCTGCAGTTCTTCTGTGAATCTACCTGAGAAATGATGCCATTAATTAAACACAATGTCATTATTTAAAATACAGATTCACCAGATTAAATTAAATATTCCAGTGGAAACCTACGATATCATCAATTATGCAAATTAATCTAAAGTAAACGTACAAAATGTGATAAAATAGAAAATGACCCGACTGCTGCAGATAACGAGGTCAGGAGGCTATAATTCTATTAATTATGCAAAACTATGAATGAGATGAGCTAATTATCAGGTTTATGATCCTATAATGTCATCAATGATCAAACTAATTTAATTTAATTATAAATGAAGCCACTCAGAACTGATTAACTAATTAATCAGCGAGTCGGTTCTTTATGCACTTTATATTTTTACTCCACTCCTGGTCAGAGGAGAAGATTTTACTACATTTATCGGCAGCTTTTACACATTTTT